CACATTAACAAAAGAAAAGGTAAAAACCATATGATCCTGTCGATAGATGCAGAAAAGGCATTTGACAAAATACAGTATCCCTTCTTAATAAAGACACTTGAGAAAGAGATAGAAGGAACTTCCTTAAACATCATAAAAGCCACCTATGAGAAGCCCGCAGCTAACATTATCCTCAACGGGGAAAAACGGAGAGCTTTCCCCCTGAGATCAGGAGCACGACAGGAATGTCCACTCTCACCACTGTTGTTTAACATAGACTGGAAGTCCTAGCATCAGCCATCAGACAACAAAAGGAAATCAAAGGCATCAATTGGCAAAGAAGAAGTCAAACTCTCACTTTTCCCAGACGACATGTTACTCTACATAGAAAACCTGACAGACTCCACCAGAAGCCTACTAGAACTGATCCATGAATTCAGCAAAGTTGCAGGGTACAAAATCAATGTACAGAAATTGGTTGCATTTTTATACACCAATAATGAAGCAACAGAAAGAGAAATCAAGAAACTGATCCCATTCACAACTGCACAAAAAAGCATAAAATACCTAGGAATAAACCTAACCAAAGGTATGAGATCTGTATGATGAAAACTATAGAAAACTTATGAAGAAAATTGAAGAAGACACAAAGAAATGGAAAAACATTCCATGCTCATGGATATGAAGAATAAATATTGTTAAAATGTCATTACTTCCCAAATCAGTCTACACATTCAGTGCAATTCCAATCAAAATTGTACCAGCATTCTTCTCAAAACTAGAACAAACTATCCTAAAATTTGTATGGAACCACAAAAGACTGCGAATAGCCAAAGTAATATTGAAGAAGAAAACCAAAATGGGAAGCATCACCATCCCAGACTGTAGCCTCCACTACAAAGCTGTCATCATCAAGACAGTATGGTATTGGCACAAAAACAGACACATAGACCAATGGAATAGAATTGAGAACTCAGAATTGGACCCAAAAGTATACAGCCAACTAATTTTTGACAGAGCAGGAAAGAGTATCCAATGGAAAGAAGACAACCTCTTTAACAAATGGTGCTGGGAGAACTGGACAGCAACATGCAGAAGAATGAAACTGGGGCACTTTCTCACACCATACACAAAAATAAACTCAAAATGGATAAAGGACCTGAATGTGAGACAGGAAACCATCAAAACCCTAGAGGAGAAAGCAGGAAACAGCCTCCTTGACCTCAACGGCAGCAATTTCTTACTTGACACATCCCCAAAGGCAAGGGAATCAAGAGCAAAAATGAACTGTTGGGACCTAATCAAGATAAAAAGCTTCTGTACGGCAAAGGAAACAATCCATAAAACTAATAGGCAACTGATGGAATGGGAAAAGATAGTTGCAAATGACATATCTGATAAAGGACTAGTATCCAAAATCTATAAGGAACTCACCAAACTACACCCAAAAAACAAATAATCCAGTGAAGAAATGGGCAGAAGACATGAACAGACACTTCTCCAAAGAGGACATCCAGATGGCAAACAGACGCATGAAATGACGCTCAGCATCCCTCATCATCAGGGAAATACAAATCAAAACCACACTGAGATACCACCTAAAACCAGTCAGAGTGGCTAAAATGAACAAATAAGAAGAATATAGATGCTGGAAAGGATGTGGAGAAACAGGCACCCTCCTACACTGTTGGTGGGAATGTAAACTGGTGCAAGCAACCCCATTGGAAAACAGTGTGGAGGTTCCTCAAAAAATTAACAATAGAACACCCCTATGACCCAGCAATAGCACTGCTAGGAGTTTACCCAAGAGATACAGGAGTGCTGATGCATAGGGGCAAATGTACCCCGATGTTCATAGCAGCACTCTCAACAATAGCCAAAACATGGAAAGAGCCTAAGTGACCATCAACGGATGAATGGATCAAGAAGATGTGGTTTATCTATACGATGAATACTACATGGCAATGAGAAAGAATGAAATCTGGCCATGTGTAGCAACATGGATGGAACTTGAGGTGTTAGGCTGAGCGAAATAGGTCAGGCAAAGAAGGACAGATACCATATGTTTGCACGTATAGGAGGATTAGGAGGAACTTAACGGAGGACCATGAGGGAGAAGAAGGGGGAAAATAGTTGGGGAGAGGGAGGGAGGCAAACCATGAGAGACTCTTGAATGCTGAGAACAATCTGAGGGCTGATGGTGTGGGGGAGGGGAAGGGGGGTGATGGCATGGGGAGGGCACTTGGGATGAGCACTGGGTGTTATGTGGAAACCAACTTGACAATAAACTATTAAAAAAATAAAATAATCTTTTACATACTTTTAAGGAACTACAAGTTTCAGGAATAAGTTTTATTTTGATTTGTTGGAGGGTATAGCCTAACAAGACAAAATTCCTCACCTCAGAAGAGGTCAGACATATAATAATGTATTACAGTTAGGGCTGAACCTAAAACCTGTCATGGGAGCACAGGGATGCAGTATGATTATGCCGGTGCGGAGAGGAGGCTTGTGGTCTTTGTTCCGAAAGCTCCTGGGCTTCCTGTGAGTCACCCCTCCGTAGGGAGGGATTTAGGTATTCAGACAGTAAAAATGATCTGAAAGTCTTCATGAACAGGAGATTAGAACTATGTGCATAGAATCCCATTACTCAAAGAGCTAGAAAGTATCGTCTGGTGATAGAGAAAGATCTTTCTACACTTTTCTTGATTATAAAACTACATCATAAGACATTTGAAAAACCAAAGAAGCATACAAAAGTAGAATAACATTTAGTTCCATTCCTTCAGATGACCAGTGTTAAAAATGTTGTCTTTCCAGTTTCATTCTGAATGTGTGTAAATGTTTTTTAAAGGATATTAAGGTTAAACTATGCACATGCTTTTTTGTAACCTTTTCTTGTCACTTAATGTATTAGGCACACTTGTTTTTGCCCTTAGTATTTCTTCCATAACTAGATTTTTAATGGCCACGTGCTATTCCACCATGAGTGTACTTCAAAATTTAATTTCCTAATGTTGGATATGTATTTTCTTCCTGAATTTTCCTTATTATGTGATTCAATAAAAATCCTTGTTCATAAATTTTGTTTATGAACAGTCCCTGATTGTTTTCCTTTGATGAATTTCTACAAGTAAAATTGCTGAATCACAGAGTATAAACATTTTTGGAATCTTTGATCCCTGTTTCTCAATCTGCCCACTGGATATGAATCAGCACACACTTTCCAGCAGTGTATGAGAGTCTTTTTGGCCAACACGCCACCAATCTGAATATTCAGTCAGTTGACTTAATACACTTTTTAAACCTTTTTTTAGCATCTTTGATTTTAAATTGATCAGTAATAGATATTTTGATACATTTTCGGTGTTAACGATTTCTTGTTTTATTTCACAGATATACCATCGTCTTTATCTATTATGCGTTCTGCTTGGTATTGATGATGCTGCTCCGACCCCTCCTGGTAAAGAAGATCGCCTGTGGGTTAGGAAAGTCTGATCGATTTAAAAGTATTTATGCTGCACTTTACTTCTTCCCGATTTTAACTGTGCTTCAGGCCGTCGGTGGAGGCCTCTTATGTAAGTTTGATCGGTCAAGTCAATGAAATATATTTATTTTTATATGTGATAAACAGTATTTTCTCTAAGTATAATTTTCAGTCTTTTAAAATAGCTTTTATAATCCTCAAAAAGAATATTTTTTTGCTAAAACATAATCAGTCTTACAAAAATATAAAAATGGGTTTCTTAGAATGGAATAGACATTATCAAGCTAATCAAAGCTGATTTCTGTTTAGAGAATACTTTGTATCTGAAGCTTATAACCTAAGTAGCAATACTTTAAAAACCTGAGTATAAGGTAAAAATAACTGGTTTTTGTATAGAATACATGGAAATTACTGTTGATTATATATATATATATATGTGTGTATATATATATATATTCTATTATATACTGTTTATCTTTAAGTTATGTCTTTGGTTTCTGAGTTCCTTTATGAAATCCTTTTGGGTACAGTAAAAGAATCCTCTGTATATTCTTTTTTTTTTTTTAAAGTATTTATTTTTGAGAGAGAGACAGAGACAGTGTGAGCGGGGAAGGGGCAGACAGAGAAGGAGACACAGAAACCGAAGGAGGTTCCAGGCTGACAGCTCAGAGCCCGATGCAGGGCTTGAACCCACAGACCTTGAGATGATGACCTGAACTGAAGCCGGACGCTTAACCGACTGAGCCACCCAGGCATCCCTGTATATTCTTTAGTATAACCATTCATTTATTCAGCAACTATTTAGACTGAACTGTGACTCCAAAGAAGAGTTACGAAGTTGCTGTTATAGAACTGACCTACTAGGGGGTGCCTGGGTGGCTTAGTCGGTTGGGCGTCCAACTTTCGCTTGGGTCATGATCTCGCGTTTCGTGGGTTCGAGCCCCGCGTCGGGCTCTGTGCTGACTGCCAGCTCAGAGCCTGGAGCCTGTTTCAGTCTGTGACTCCCTCTCTCTCTGACCCTCCCCTGCTCACGCCGTGTGTGTCTCTCTCTCTCCTAGAAATAAATAAAAA